TCGGCAAACCATTCCATGAGTCTCTCACTTTGTCTGCTCTAATCAGCAGCAAATCTGGGACCCCACAGGGCACAACTCTTGAGAGCGCCACCAACGACGACTGGGAGCACATTCGCGGAGCAGTGTGGAATGACGATCCTGATTGTCAACTCTTTTCAGACACTCACGACTCAAATCATTCATACACACTCGGCTTTGACTGGGCACTGAAGTTCAAGTCAGCGGAAAAAGAGTGGAACCCAAACAACCTCGGCTTCACTAGGATGAAAAATGTTACCGGTCGCTCACACTATGGTGACCTTCAGTTTCTTCACTGTATGGCATCTGACAGAGATGAGGAGCCTGAAGTCACAAAAGCAAATATCATGACCTGGATGGAAGTTATGTATAAGCTGGCAACTGGTGAAGATGACAAGATTACCCCCAGCACTGTGGTGTCACAGTCACCTCTTGGCGTTTTGTTTCCTGACGATTCTCTCCCGCCAAACTGGCTGTCTCTTGCCTATCTATTGTCCAAGGACTCCAAGTTCAAGGGCCTTGACATCGGGCGACGCGCACTCGGCAGTATGTTCCATGTTATCCAAGATTCGTATGCTATTGGCCATGCAAAGCGTGAACTACTGAACGAGAAAGACAAGGTATCAGACGGTAAGGATTCTGATTAGGTCCATCCAGTTCCCACTGCTTACATTTCTTCTCCAGATCCCCTCAAATTTAAAGACGGCACTATAGATCGTTGGGGGCCCATTCAGATCTTCCACACTTATTATGGCCAAGACAGTGCTTCACACAAGCATTACGACCACTTTTTCGATCGTATTCCGGATCCGGAGCATTTAGATAATCTAGAACTGTGGAATAACTTGATTGGTTGTCGTGACGGCGTTGATAGGTGTAAGATTCTAGTAGAAAAGAAGCTGGAGGGCAAGAAATGGGAGGGCGATGATGGAGTGAGACAGTTTCTCGATACAGAAGTGTTCGCGCTGTCTGGTCAGGAAAGTCTAGTCAACAACAAGGTTCTATAGTAGCTTAATCCGTACTGTAAAAGGATTTAGACCTTATGGATATTTCGAGATTATTTGCTTGAATTACGCTTTTAACCAACGTTCAAGATTGATGCCAGTAATCTACTGTGTTTGACTTGAGAAACTAGCCTGTACCATGCATTCACTCACTATGGGGATTGCTTTCGTTTACTGTTCGTCGCAATAACCATCGACTTGCTTTGGTTAAGATTCTCCCCCTCTTCTTTGGCTTAGGGTTACCCATCCGAGGCGCTTCTGCACAAGTAAGTACATGGGCCAGAATCGGCTAGGCCATGTCCATTGTCTTAGGCTATTGCCTCTAGTCCTGCAAATCCCAGGCTGCCACCTACGTTCTAGACCTAACCCTGGTATTCAGCTGTTGTTTCGATCACGATGCGTACTCAGCCCTCTGAGCTGGCATTGGCAACCACACATTTTGCCGTTGGTCAATTCCCACCGTATTAGCGCCTACAAGGGAGAGTGCGACCCGCAAAGCCACCTAATGCTGGTTGCTCAGCTTCGGCAGGGTCTCTTCCTCTCCATTCCCTTCACTTACAACTGCCGTCTTCCATCACAGGGTTACTTCACTCCGCTTCGACATCCTCTTTCCACTTGCTTCAGGAACGATTTTCCATTTCATACGAAGATGGCTACTATTCAAATCAACGGCAACACGGCCAATCTCGCAAATTTGCCTGATAGCGTGCCAAAGGATGCAGAGAGCACCAATTTTATCCTTATCCAGGGTCACAGTGACTTGACCCCTGGTCAAAAGCAGAAACTGGAGGACAGTAAAGTCAAAATCCTGGAATATGTCTCGCGCAACACCTACCTATGTCGATATGAGCCCAAAGACCTCAGTGCCATTCGGGCTATGGCCGCTGTCAAGAGTGTGATTCCGTGAGTAGTCATTAACATTGCAGAGTAATAATCGCTAACTGTATCAGATATCTGCCCGACCTCAAAACCACCGTGACTCTCAAGGAACTTATAGAGAGGGACAACAAAAAGACTCGCTATGAGGTAGACTGTATCCTTCATAAGAGCCCCAACGTCAACGCCAACAACCTGGCAACATCAATCGCACAGAAAGCCAGAGTAGATTTACAAGATCTTCAAATCTCACCTTCAATTATCAGAGTCACCGTGCACCAAGATGACCTCTCAGAGATTGCGAAACTTGATAGTATTAGCAGAATTGAAGAGGTGCGGCCAGTGGGGGTGCTCAACAACGAGGCGCGCGCAATCCTCAATGTCGATCTCTTGACCTTGTCAAGCTCCTACGAAGGGGCTAACCAACGTATTTGCGTTGCAGACACTGGCTTCGACCTGGGAAGGTCAAATAGCGAGCCTGGCGTTGAAGTTCACCCAGCACTTTGTGGACGTGTTCAGCACCTAGACTCCGTCTGGCCCAACGACCCCAAAGACCGGAACTTCACATTTGAGAAGTTCATGGACGAAGAAGGTCATGGCACTCATGTGTGTGCATCCATCTGCGGAAGCGGTATTTACACAATCAAGGAGCCCGAGAACGGCACGGTTACAATCAAAGTCAGAGGAACGGCGCCTGCCGCCACTCTTATGGTCCAGTCCTTGATGTTATATAAGCCCGCAGGGAGGTACTGGAAGATGGAGACGCCATTGGATCTGGCCGCACAGCTTTTCAAAAAGCCATATGACCTAGGATTCCGGATCCATAATAATTCGTGGGGTAAGAAGTGGGATAACGAAACAGGTCAGTTGGGCTATGAAACCCAAGCGAATGCCATCGACGGTTTCGTCTATGATCACCAAGACTTCATTGTGTTAATGGCAGCCGGTAATAACGGCGAAGAAAACGAATACAAAAGCCAGATAGGAGCCGCTGCTGCTGCCAAGAATTGCATCACTGTCGGATCGACAGGCTCAACGCGACAAAATGATGGGCAGAATTTTATCAAGGTTCAAGACGTTGGAAATCTCGGAACACAGGTCAACGAAACTGCAGTTTTCAGTAGCCGCGGGCCAACCCTACGTAGATCGCCGCATGTGGACGAAGCCGACAAAACGACACCCGTAGTAGGTCGTATCAAGCCAGATATTGTTGCACCAGGTGTTGCTGTCCTTTCAGCAGCCTCGAGAGCCTTGAGTGCACAATCTCGCAAGAAGAACACATGGAGAATTTCGGAGGACAACGATTGGATTTATGCCTCTGGTACAAGTATGTCGACACCACTAGTTGCAGGCTGTGTCGCTTTGCTACGTGAGGCATTACAAGAGGGAGGCAAGCAGAACCCAAGCGCAGCCCTAGTGAAAGCTTTACTTATCAACGGCGCCGTCAATTATTCCGAGAGTCTGGGTCTTGGCGTCGGCTACGACTATGAACAGGGTTTTGGACGTGTTGACATTGACAGTTCTATCGCTATGATCAGACAGTCATCGTTCATGGAGGGCGGTAACGCCTTTGAAGCCACCCAATTCGACGTGCCCCCTTTGCGACAGATCCCAACGGCAGCCAGGAGATGGGTCAGTCCTGAGATACCTGTTCCTTCTGGTAGAAACCGTCTGGTCGTGTCTCTCGCATATCCCGATCCAGCGTCCAGCTTTGGGGAACTGCAGAATGATATCAACCTGTATGTTTTCTCAGCTGGGTCTGAGCGACACGGCAATATGGGCAAGAGCTCCGGGCTCGACCACACTAGTAAGCGAAATCTAATGCTATCCCACTATTTGCATACTTACAGTGCTACAGACAATGTTGAGAAGATTATTTGGGAGAATGTCCCTGGAAAGACGTTCAAGGTTGTCGTTTCCATAAACAACAACCTCAAACCAAAGGATCCCGCAGCATTCGCGGTCGCCTGGGATATTCGTCCTCTGGCGAGATTGTAAGGGTGTTTTTTGCAGTACCACAGTTTATGTAATATTCAACCCCATTCCTTTTCATTTCCTCTCACTATGCTATCTTTCTACCCTAAGGTACCGACAGGAGACCAGTTGGAGTTTGGGCCAACATACCATATGGGGTTGAGGACACAGACCAATGGCCCTGCAGGAATGTACATGGTGTGGATTGCAGAGGCGAACGGAGGGCCAACAAGAGGGATCAGGTCGAAGATCAATAATATGGTGACATTCTGCTCTACATCATGATGCACGCATCTGGTACTTATCTAATTGCTCTTGTAACGCCCGCTAAAAGATCTATACCGGGCCGGTCGATCTTGACTAGAATGGTCCATTGTTACGAGACTCGCTTCTCGATAGCTATCTTTCTCCCGTGAGAAAACTCGTGGGAATAATCCTAGCTATCGCGATCGGGTCTTACCTGCCACAGTGGAATAGGTTAAACCAGCTGTCAAGATTCATTACTTAACGGAGGAAGGCTGGTTGCGTGATGCTCAGGTTAACTAGATGATTTCATCCACAATACGAGGATTCGAATTGATTGCGGAATTAGAAATTGGTCCCGCAGGTGAGGCTTCTATGAGGCTACCTTACTCAACGCTGCGGAGTCTCTGGAAAATGCTAGACTGCGATATTTCAACTTTACTCTTTGCTCTTGCCATGTTCAAGTATCCACTTGCGGCAGGACTGCTTGATCATCTGTGCGCATAAGCGGAGACTAAGGTAATGCTGTTGAATAGCCGAGAAATCATGGATAGTTATCGATACAATAAGATAGGATACGTGACCGGTGAGTAGCATAGCATTGCATTACTGACAGTGGGGGCGGCGGACTGAAATTGTCATTTGATTCCGCAATACAGAAGTAACTTAAGTAAGCCACCGGATTACCTTCAGCGTTGGCACTCGATAACTAATACGGCTGATAAATGTTGACAAATTGCTGAAACGATGGGATACACTGGAACAGGCTTCGAACGTGATGGAAAAAGCTGAAGTCAAGGCTGGATCGTGGAGTTACTGGCATCCAGCTGCCCTTGTTAGTGTTTCCCTTGAATCGAAATTCCGTTCGTAATTCGCATACCCAACATGACTGGCATCAAGATTCTTGTACTTGGTGCGACAGGTCCTGCAGGTTTACTTTTGCTGCGAGAGCTGCTGCATCGACAACATGGGACCATTGCCTACGTCAGGAACGCGTCCAAGATCCCCGCAGACCTGGCGAGCAGCCCACTGCTTCAAGTAAGTAAGGAGCCTAGAGAACTTCTTTTTCAGCATGGAGTTATAAACTCAGTCTATCGATAGGTCATCCAGAGGCTGATGCACGAGTCGGACAAGCTCGAAAGCGCCGTCGCGGGAAGCAAAGCCATCATCTCACTCCTGGTCTAACGCAATCGAGCGTCGTAGAGAAGACAACGTACTCGAGCATCTACTCAGCTCTTTTCCCCCTCATGCGCAAAACGATGTGAAGCGCATCCTCGCCATGGGCACACTATCCATCACCGAAGACTCGTCCTCGTTCACCCGCTTATTGCAGGCTATCCTCACCCGCATCATCGCGTCGACGGCGTACAACGCAGTCATCGACCTCGGACACGTATTTCAAGAGGAGGCGGACGGGCTGGACCGGACCCTGTTTCATATCAGCTTTATTAGTGGCGAGCCGGACGAGGATAGTTGGAGAGCGGATCGTGAGGATCAGCCGACCTATGCTGGGTATATTGCGAAGCCTGGATGGAAGGCTGGTATGAAGAGGGCTGCGTTAGCGAGCTGGCTTTTTGATGAGATCGAGAGCGGTAAATGGGTCAGGAAGTCGCCGGCGATCAGCAAGTCCAGCGCTAAGAAGACGAAGATCTAATGTCAGCAGGTAGTCGATCATTCGAGCTCGTCTATACTTTGCAATGGTGGGTTCAGATCCCCAGGGCACTAGTCATAAACCACCGACTTAGGGTCAATGGTGTAGTGTTCTAATGTAGAACACTCGATCAGTCTAGAGTCATTCACAGAAGTTAGTCCATTCCACACAGCGTCTTCTCTAGATAATTGTGCTGAAACTGCCTAGCAGACTTCATTACGCTATAACCAGAACTAAGGTAGTATTGACTACCTTAGTTACATAAAGCTGCAGTGTATACAGAGCTAACGGTGGAACAAACAGAAGTGGTGATTGGCGCCGGTAGCGAAGGTAGCCTCAGAATCTGCACATGCTGTCGCGGCTGATGAAATCAGTCCAAGGACTCCGAGGTCCCAACCACCACATCTCGACTGGGCTTCGCCATAGAAGTACCTGAGTAAGGTACGCGTGATTACTCGCATACGCGATACTTGTGCCTACCAAAGTAAAAGAGGAGTTTCTGCTACAAAATATTGAACCCCACGAAGTGAACCTCACGAAATCTCAACCACGCTGCTTGCTTGCGTCGAACAACGCTCAAAGCACTCCCAGTGACACCACCACCTGCATGCTGCCGAACGATAAGTTGGCCCCATGCTTAATGCCAGAAATACATTAAGTTACATGCAAAAGCCGGTGCTGACGGGAATATAAGGCTTAACCCCCTTTGGGCCGGTGTGGGAAGAAAGGCTTTGAATCAGGCACAATAAAGACCCTTAAATGAGCGAATACTCGTAGTACCGAGTTGAATCGGCATCATCTGCCCAATAATTATGCCAAGGATTCGATAGCAGACGGCAGGTGAGTTTAGGAGTTGAAGTGGGAAAGGGAGAAGGAAGAAGAAAGGCAGTGGTCGAGGCAGACGAAAAGTAAGAGAGCGAGGTGGAAAGAGAGAGAAGGAGTAGTCTCCAACATGATTAAGTGTTGAATCAATTCATCCGCCCAGTACTCTGATTGCCACATTATTCGTGACGATAAATAGCAGTACAGTTGGCACCCGAATCAGAATGACCGATATCTCCTGTCACCTCCCAAGTGTTGTCAAAACAATCGACGGGTATCCAGCTTTATTTTACTCGCCACCTGGAGGTCATTTCCGAGCTAGACCGATGAGATAACCCTAAACCAGATTGGCTGCATTACCCTTTACACTCTCTACAAGCCCAATGAAACCTGTACCGTAGGCCTCAATGAGCAGCTCCTCCGCCCTTCTGCTGGGTATGAAGGAGCTCAGATCTCTCTCATTGGTCGGAAAATCCTCCCAATGCTTGAAAGGATATGACTCCCGCAAGATCTCTATTATGTCCTGTAGGTTTACGGGCCCAGCAATGGCAAAAAGACGCTCTCCTCGTACCTGTGGATGAACCAATCCAATGACATGCAAGCGGGCATCGTCTTGTACGTTGACAAAGTGCTGAGGAGGTGTGTTCCTCAAGGAGTCGTAATCTTGATCCCACAACTTCTTGACCCATCTAGCCGAGGTCGGGTAACCTTGTTTTTCAGCATTGATAAGCGGGCCAATGTTCGCATTAGGTTGAACTGACTCGATGTTAATTACCATACGTTAGTCCAACTATTTCCAATAAATTACCTGTGTTTATGATTAAGGATGATTTATTCTCCTTCGCCCAACGCGAGAGAGCGCGCTCCGCTTCCACTTTGCTGGCGGAGTAGACAGTTTCCCCGTCGGCTCCAGGTTGCTTAATGCGTTCAACTGCTTCCTCGTTGAAGCTCTCGGCAGTAAGTGTAAAGACCTTTCCGGGCTTAGGTTGGGTAACCGCGAAGGAGGATGACGTGAAGACGAATCTCTTCAAATCGGCTTCCGATGATGCCTTGGCGGCATTCAATGCACCATTCACTGCTCTAGGGATGGCAACGGCCGGATCTCGAGACCCCTGCATGTCGTTGGCCACATGGATGAAGCCAACAGCCCCTGCGGAATCAGCTCCTGCTCATTGTGAGGGTGGGAAAACTTTCATACCTTGGACTGCTTCGTTGAATGCGTCTGGAGCTTCCATGTCTGGAACAGAGGCTAGGTGGAACATATGGCTGCCGTACTTGGTTTGGAAATAATCTTCCAGCCACTGACTCTTAGAGACGTCTCGCGTCGTACCACGCACCCTGTACCCAGCTGATATAGCTTGGTCGGCGACGTGAGAGCCGATGAAGCCACTCACGCCGGAAATGACGACGAGGCTACCATAAGGCACAGCCGGTTGAGGGATTCCGGGGATGGGCATTGCGTGAAAGGTTAAGGGGTATCACTGGTATATGCGGGGATAAATAACGAGGCTATGAGATATACTGGCGTTGTCCAAGTAGGTGATTGTAGATGACATGAATTAAACGGAAAGCGGCGATAGAGCTTGAGCCCAGTCTTATACTCAATGATAGACCACATTGGTGTAGGCATTAGCGGAGATTAGATTCCACTAAATCCTCTCTTACCCCACAGTGTCAGCGCCTTTACGAATGACGTATGTATGCCTAGAGCGCTACTTCCGGACGCATAGCTCTTAAGGACGGATAATATTTCCCACCTTTAACCAGCCGGATTTTGGTATTGATATACTTAGACTTGATTATTTATTTTTGCCCTTGGATAAATATTCTATCTTAGAGCCTTTTTATACATACTTATACTGTAAGAGTTTATTATTAAAATAGAAGAACATTGAATTCCTTTCTAAATCAATACTAAGTTAAAAGAACATTTTATTGAATGTTTCTCAATCTGCTTTGGCTTAGATTTCAATATCGATCGAGTTAGTTTAGATAAAGCGGCGCCTGAGCCTGGGATAGACGAAGAAAGCGGTCGGATTCAACGCACAGAAGGCTAAGGCTGCTTGGTGGACTGCACTCGTCACCATTAGGAAGACACCGTCTTTGATATGACGGATATGATGTCTTTTCTCCCTCATTCTTCAATTAACATCTTCCGAGCAGTGTCTCGACGGGCCGACTCTACTCCTCGACCAAGGGCCGAGACTACTATCCCGAAGAGTCGACGGTTATTGGACCAGCGCTGTTTTTAGGTTGGGTTCCATCACTAATCAGTTTTTAATTCCGAAGATTTGGGCTTGTTACAATCTAGGCTTTATCCACATCAATAGAATTTATCGAACATCCATCTATGTAGTATTCTTTCCTACAGAATTTAGGTTCATTATCTGATCGCTCACTCTTGGCTCACCTTGCCTGCTTTGCAACGACCGAATGCCTGGGAGCGCTGGAAAGAGGCTGGAGCTAGCTTCGAGCACTGGTGCCTGGGGCGTTTCTGTTCTCATGCCCTTTCGTACACAGCGAAAGACTCGATGACCAGGGCACTGCGCTCGAAGTGACAGAAGAACGATGAAAAGCTGCCGAGGAGAGAAGCAAGTCGATGGATCCACATCGCGAGAAGAGATTCGAGATTCCATCGAATACATTGGCCTTTCCACATGTTATTTGAGCTAGACCACCTGCTAGGGACGACTTTTGTATGCAGGAATGAAGCCTCTGGTCCTGTGTTGCTAGACGTTCACTGGCCCATAATCAACTAATCTGGGTGATATCCCGTACAGGGTTGCCGTCTTAAGCCGAGAGAGTACTCGGGAGGAGACCATGTGGGTACAATAGACAATTTACGTCGCTGAGGCTAACCCTGATGTTTCCGCAGCGTTTAAAGAGTTTATTGAAATGAACCAACTCACTGCTCTAACAGTCACAGACCTATCTTACCTTGGTTCCTAAAGAAACGAGTGGCTGATTACTCATATCCTATTTGCATAGGGAAACACCGCTCTCAGAGTGTTTCATGCTGTATGCTTATGAAGGCCAATGTCATTCAGCGCAACTATACTACTTCCTACGGAGCACAGAATGAGTCATTTGATACCTTAATTACTCGTATACGGATACCTTACCTACATATACTCGATCCATCTTGAGTTCACGCAAGTAGTTACTTGATTCAGGCTGGAATACTAGCCCGTCTTGGTTCAAGTGCTGTGAGATGGTCTTCACAGGGGAACAGCATGTGTTCTCCCTCTCTCCTTCCCCCCAACTCACTCGGTAGCACACTCTCCCTGACAATGGTCTTATGTAGCACAACCAATACCATCACTGCGCCTTGGTAACTCTAATAACTATCTGTTGCTGCTTTTCTGAAGATCTTAGGAGGGACTGCCCAGTAGTGCGAGGCAAATAGCTCATTTTTGACGCCCAGCGTGAGTGAAGTCCAAGCTTGATGGCAATGCCTATTCGCCAGGCGCCTTTCAATGGTCGTTACTGCATTTGAGAACAAGATCATCAATGCCGCGACAATGGCTACCATCTGCATTCAAACTTCAGGCTGTATTATGCTGTGCAGCCGCTGATCGGCGAGGTTTCACTATGAAAGAAAATATGTTCTTGGCAATTGTTTTGAGATCACTTCCCTAATGATCGCCCCGTGCTCCATAGGGTGCTGAGGACAACGCAACCCGTTCCTCATTCTCACCATCTAGTCTGTCGTATCCCCCACTGTATCCCATTGAGCGCTCATTTTGCCCATAGCCAGGATGAGTCCCTTGGCCGTATGGAGTTCCTTCTTGTCGAGGTGCCGCTCCACCCTTCGCCTTCTTGTTTTTCTTCGAGACCATCTTCTTGATCTTCTTCATGCACTTTTTGACAACTTTCTTGATGTACTTCGTCGGATCGAGCTGCGTCTTGTTTCCGTCGCTGGAGCTGCCATCCTTGCTGCCGCCTTCGGTACCCCTGCGCTTTCGCCTGCGGCAGCAACAGCAGCATGCAACTACAGAGACAAGGGCAAGAACGCAGACGACGATTATTGCCACTATCCCGCCGGGAATGATGCGGATGCCGCCATCATTGTCGTCGTCATCTGAATCGCCATTGCGAGCTAGCAAGTGGTGGATAGGGCTGTTGTAGGCTGCACGAGCCAAGGGTTGGATAACAGGCATTATCTGCAGATAGTTCCGAACTTTAAGCTGGTTCCAGATGTTTGCATACAATTGGCTGTAGGATAGGCGATTCGGATGAGTTGATCTGATGCTTAGCGGACAACGTTCTGACTAAGGTGTCAGGTAAAGAGCGTGAATGAGAATAGAGTGAGTAGCGATTGACTAGCACAATCATTTTCCTAAATTTTGGAAACGCTTATGTTTTTATCTTCTCCTGGCCGGATTCTGCTCAAAGCCGTTGTGTCCAAATTAAGCATCTTTCATCGTCGGCATCCCACAGCATTGTGGCTTGGCGGGCCTGCCACTCCATGAGGATCCCTTGAATTAATCAATTGCCATAAATTTGTCAGTGCGGTAATATCCTGTGCAATTGTCGGCCGTACTGATGATTGGCGGCTGCTGGGGACGCCTGACTCGCGCGAGCAAATTGAGAGCTCGTGCCGCAAGGCCTTACACCCAACTTGTCGGTGACGCCGTCGAAAGATACAAATCCCTGCCGTTTGCAGTAAGAAAAGGTTGCATTTTTGTAGTCTACGGATTTGCCGAGTCTACCAGCCCACTCTTGTGTATGATGTTCACTTGTGCAGGCCAATAGGAGCACGCACAAAACGGCCTTTCCATAGGTACTCAAGGTATAAATGATCCCAAAAGCTCTTCTTGCGATTCCCTTCCATCTGACATGGCATTAAGCATACCTTACTTCATAGAAATGAATACTGATGTGACCCCTAGAAACTTGAGTTGAAATTGCCACCCTCGGATGTTGCTAGCTCGCAATTAAACCGCATTTTTACTCCCCAGACAGTTACGTTGGGACTTTTTGGATGTATTGAGCACAAATGCGATATTTCGACGCCGTAACAGTACTCATTGCGATATGCTGGCCTGCCCATGATGTCGGAGAATCTAAGAGACAGAATCTAGTCGTAATGTAGTATGTTATCTTTTTTTAATAACACGAAACCTTGTATGGAGTTGATATTCGAGAAAGAAAGACCACGATATGGGTCGACGTGACCGAAAATTTTCGACACGCAGCTTTGCTATGTCTGGGTTGAATAATGATACCGACCTCTTGATACCGAATTGCGAAGTTAATTTCATCCCGGCAAAGTCTCTAGTGATTAATTCTTGGCTCGGGTATAAAAATTGAGACAATTTCTCCGAAACGTTTCACGTGAATCCCATGTTCAGGATTGTGATGACTTCTTGGACAAACGTTTCGGTAATCATCGGCGCCTCGGGAGTATTGTCCAAGGCACTATTAGTGAGTGCCAAGAAACTCAGAATAATTTCCACTCGATATACTTCTGTGGATGGATAGCCTGCAGGAATATGTAAACTACTGTCCATCCGAAATGCCGTCTGCAGTAGTGGCTTTGTTTTGGGATGCACACAGCTAGAGCTTTAGGACTCAAATCGGTGCTTAGCCTTATCCCATCACCAGGGGCTCTCTGCACATGGACCGGAGACCGTGCGTTGATCACCGCAGGAACACGAGCATATTGTGTCTCAATATGACATGACTGTTGAGAAATAAGTGTATCATTACAAGATTGTTTATGAATCGTCACACCGTGTCAATCTGATTGGATTCCCAAGACCCGTCACACAACTCCCAACGAAGGTGGCAGTATTGTAAGCATACTGAGGGGAAAAAAAGAGGATCAAAAAGGCCATAACCTAGAGAGGGGATTGAGTGGAAATTCCAGTATCAGTGACAAAGACTCCAAATGTCAACCCAACTTTCCGTCATTATGTGTCGGCCCTTGATAGGCTCGTAAGTCCAATACTTCGGGTTCGGGCTCTGTCTCGCGCTGTCTACGGCGACGTCGCCGCCGACGCCAAACGAAGTATCCAGCCAGTAGGAACACCAATATGGTGACTGAGATTAGTGCCATGTTAGTAGATGTAGGAATCTGGGGACGAATTGTTTCTCCTCATGGTTGTTCCACCTACCTATTCCTGATACAAAGCCGAGAATCGCGATACCGACCTCGGTGAAAGTGGGAACGCCCTGGGTCATATTTATGTTGATCGCCGGTGGCTGGTATTGTTTCAGTCCATCACCGCTGCGTAATGCCGTGTTCTGGTCAGCTGCCGGGACTTGTGTGGCAACTACGGTCACTGTCGGGGGTGCTAAGGTAATAAAGACGGTGTTCGTTGGACCTCTTGATGCTGGCGGCGGCGGTGGCGGCGGCGGTCCGGGGGGTGGAGGAGGCCCTCCTGGGGGTGGGGGTGGAGGCGGCGGTGGTCGAGGGGATGGGGGAGGTGGTGGAGGAGGTGGTGATGGAGGCGGTGGTGGCGGTGGCCCCTCTGGGGGAGGAGGCGGCGGTGGCGATGGCGGAGGAGGCCCTTCTGGCGGAGGAGGAGGGGGTGGTGAGACTGGGGGAGGTCCCTCTGGGGGTGGCGGCGGCGTTGGTGAAGGAGGCGGCGGTCCTTGAGGAGGCGGCGGTCGTGGTGCTTGTCGTCCCTGATATTGGTGCCTTGAATCAAGATTCAGCCTTGGTGGTGGAGGCTTTCTGCGAGTCGACGAAAATCGTGCCATCTTGTCCGTGTTTTCGTACCTAAATATGTGTTAGCGATGCAAAACCCTCATGGTCAAGCTGTCTAAGGTCTCTTACCGCTGCTAGAAAGCCTCCCACTTCACGTTATTACGTTGTTACACAAAACTGACAGTGTCTAGAAGGGGAGACACGATGTTTTGGACGGTTAAAAGGGAGCAAAGACAATCTTGATCGCTCAGGCTAATGGTACATATCGAGGCAGCAAGCAATTAAAGAACACAGGAGCGTCTGCCATTAATATTCACATTCGACCCTATCTTTTGGATGGGAGACTGTGTCCTAGGAACACAACTGGATGACTTTAGTTCAAATCGTGCTGTCGGTGCGACACTCGGCGCAGGGGAACTCATCTGAACTTCGGTAAGTTGAACTATCCAGTTGGTTTGGTTTCAAGCTTTTTACACACGAACCACTTACGTCCAGTTGACAGGAATGAAACAGAGTTAAAGTCTACGTCTGATGACCGCGACTCATTGCTAATAATAGCATTACTCACAGACAAAGAGCACATAGCGTCGACGTTCCGAGGCTGCATGGAATATCTCCTCCCAATGCCATTCAAGTTTTTGATCGAGCACCCCCGCAGTAGGAGATGGTGTTCAAGCTTAGAGAAGTAGTTGTAATTCTCTATCCGACTCATTCACCCGGCGTCGAGCAATTGCTGCAGCATTCGGCCCATATGGAGGGATTACTTATATTTAGAATGCAGGTAGCATAAGGTAGTCCAAAAATTGGCTTTGACTGACAACGACGACGGCACTTTGGCCCTCAATCGTCGTAGGCAGTATGTTCAAGTCAGAGTACTTGAGGAACTATTGACAGCATCTTGCTAACAAGTTGAGGCTACTGCAGAGCTTGCAAGTGGTTGGCGATTTGAGGCGGTACTGCCCGGCGCAAAGCTCCTCATAATCACGGTAGGTTCAAATGCCCACATCAATACCCACCATCACATCTCGATCGGGAGCTTGAAACAATGTTCGACGTGATGCTACGTCTAGATCAAGGTTCATCTCCGCTTTTTCGATCTGCGAGAGGCATTCCGGAAGACGGAGGTTGCACAGGCGAGTCACGACCTTACCCCTTCCCAGTACGACTGGTGCAGTCAGTTGATGTTTCAAATCGGGCTTGCGGTAACATTGTCGCTGTCTTATCATTGATTGGCCGTTCATCCGTCGTCGATATGGATCCATCTGTAAGCTGATGAGTATCTAGCCTCTCTTTTTTGTTTTTGGGGCACTTGAGCTGCCACTCGCCAGAGCTCAAGGGATGCAGAGATCTGCCAATGGAGAAAGAATAGAGGTTCCTCAAATCATAGGGTTACCCAGATACGCTTTTTGAAAAGGGCATGTGCCTCGATTGTTAACATTCACTAGCTCGCAACCTTTTCCAAGGTTATGATCGCTTCTCTCTAGATGGGTGTGTAGCCTTTGCACTGGATCGAACCACTGCCCGCCCAAGGGCTGGTGCCATCTTGAAAGGATTGCCATTTGGTCTCGGAAACATTCTGCCATCCAGTCTTAGTGCTATTTAAATGTCAGGCTCAGTTATCGACAAGCATCAAATAGCTCAAGAATGCGCCAAACGGTGAGGTAGGTATTGCTAAGCCATACTAGAATTTGGTTTAGCCACGAATGAGAACAGGTGATCATCGGGAGGGTCGAGCCGGGGGAACATGTTTCATTTGCGCACCATAACCTGTAGGCTTGGCCCACTCAGCCCATCAAATCGACGACAAGGCGGACAGACCACTCGGCATCAGACAACCCGGCGGTTGACTATCCGGGGATAGGTGACGCGTCGGTAAGCCATCCGGAGGCGGCTGAATGGCAAAGTTGCTCCGCCAAAGTTCTGATGGAAAGTAACAATGCAGTCCGGCGACTTTAATCGTCGGGGGTTTCCCGGGACCGGCTGGACTATTGCGGAGGTGGAGTATTATCGCGTTCCGCACGGTAGTACACGGCACGGTCCGATTTCAAATGTTATAAATGGCGTACGCCGATGATAGTAGATCTTGTTGGTGAGTTGAGGACTTCGTCTGCGATACTGAGGACATTCTGATGCTTCCATAAGATACATTACCTATGTCTTGTATGAAATGATTGGGGAAGTGGACATAGGTGTGCAAGTAGCACATGCGGCAAAGGTACCTGGCTCATCAATCATGTCACACAATATTGACCTCACCATGACATAATATCACTCAACAAGCACAAGCTGCATCAAGCAAAAAGGTTGGTCAACAGAAACAAGAATATTTCCCCAGGTGAATCGCGTCACCGTAGAGTCCAGGTATGCCGAGAAGAATCGCCGTGGCCCTGACATTTCCAGATTGACCGCACCAAGGAAGGTCTGTACGATACACGGGCGAGAGCCAAACCTGGAATCATGGAGCGCTCGAATTCGCGGTTTTCCTTCCAATCTCTGTCCAATGTCCTTTGATACCTGCCATTTCTCCAGTGGTTAAACGGATCCCAAACCACTCCTCCAGCGCCTTGACCCTGTCGCTCTCGTCTTGACAGTCTTTAACCACACGAGTCTTCCCTCCCATGTTCTCCTTCAGAATAGAGCCCACCAACATCCTCTTGCCGACAATCTCTCCATCATCTTTAGCCCCATCGTTGAGAGTTTCCCTCTTTCTGAGAAACTTAACAACTAATGGGCAAAATCTCTGGAAAGAGTGAGGTGACGTGCTTGTGTACCAGTTCATGACTTTGAAGTCCGGTTCCAAGAATTCCTGCTCGGAGAAGGCGTAAAAGGAGTTCCACTCCTTTGCTGGTCCGTTTCGGTACTGGTAAATCCAGAGCTTTGAAGCTTCTGTTCGAAAAACTTGATTCGGAATGTGGCCACGCACTAAGCGGACCTCTTGGGTACCAAGATTTCGTAATACTTGATCATGCTTCAAGGGGAGTGGCTTGGTGGCGCCGTCACCTCCAAATGCTACATCAATCATGTACTGGGTTTTGTCTGGGAGGCCTACAAGGCTGACCATGTGTGTACTGACGAATATGAGCTGATAACCTAGGAATTGGAAGATCTAGCAGACGCAGTACAGTTACTTACTAGCCAATGTAGTCACCGCTAGGCACACCATCCTTCCGCAATCGGATTCGAACCCCAGTCATGTATGCCTGGAACCCAAGTGTCCTCAGAACATGGTTCATCAGAATACTGACTTCCATGCAGTAACCACCTCGGCCCCGACCGCCTGTGACTAACTTCTCAAACAGTAGCTGAGGGTCTAGCTCAACCAGCCGCGATTCGGAGTAGTGCAAAGACAGATTCTCATAAGGAATGGTTGAGATGGTGTGTACGTGGAGGGCGGTGAGATAAGCTAGATTACGAACCGGCCTGTTGCATTGCCTGTACTTTGTAGGGAGACAGATGAGCTCTTCGAAGAGAGCTACCTGTTCCTGGTTATAGGCTGATTTTGAGAGTTCCGTCATTATCAAATAGAGTTGCCGCAGAAAGATGAAGGTCGTTGAGATTCAAGTTGTAGCTGTGAGGTTTTATGTCGGTAGGTCACAATACCTGAATTTGTTAAGCATCGGAGCGATCAAGGATCATTGAGTCACACGAACTTTTCGCGAATGATCGTCCCGGTGGAACCCGAAGGTATGCCAACACTAGTCCAAAATTGTTTCAAAACATAATTGGCAAGGTATGAATGACTCGATTCAATCCTCTATCAACTCGAACTCATTGTCAGTTGCTGCTGAGCATAACTAACATTGTTCGTGGAGGATAGAGACAAGGAACCGGTTCCTTAATGAACGAAAAGTTATTATCGCCACTGTGCGGAGACCTGGATTGGCCACAAGCTATCGTCGTCTCAAACTCGCAAGCTAAGAACATCACGTTGCCCCCGTAGTCACTTTGCCAAACCTCTTAGAATAAGCTATGGCCGACCGTTGATGAAATCTATAGTCCGAACTTGCGGTCAAAGCATCATTCGATCTTCATTGTGAATAATCCATATGCGAAAAGTATACACATATATCGATGTTTAATCAAACAATGCAGCATGCTGCAAAGAACCTAAAGTCCGATCGAGCACTGGACCACGGGAACAAAGTAGGGACGTTCTCCTTCTCTCCACCTATCTTCATGCGAAATTTAGCAGCAAAAAAAAGGTAGGACGAAAGTGAAAGATCTTTCACCATTGGCGATAATATGGGCAACGCTACGTCATTAAACGCTAAGTTCCAGCTTACAATGGTGTCAAGTCGGTCTATATCTGTGCTTTAGGAGCTTCTTCAGGTTAACTAAGCTTCAATTGGATCCGTACGTCGTGTCAATAATACCCATCTTTGCGTCATTTCCTAGTTCCAGATCTCATGGTCGCAATATCTGACCCAACCTGAACCAATTACCGAATTTACCGTGTCATCAACTTACGATGAATAAACCATATGACAATTGCCGGACGAAAAAACACTTTGGCCCCAGTATTGATCACCTGGGCACGGGTTGAAAAGTTGGTCTTGGCCAGAAGAAAAGGTGCAGCGTACCTCGTGACGAATGGCACCGGATCGAGTCCAAAATTCCCGAAGCAATCACCTTATATTCATTTTCTCCGTTCAAAAACTCCTTTACTAGAGACGTAGTAGCGGCACTGTCATAGTCGGAGAGATACTGACGCTAATATGTACATTGTAAGATCCAGAAGGTTGCAGCGCACTTTGACACGGAAATTGGCCTGCCTAGATAAAATGGTCTGCCGAATTGGCTGAGCCACCAGAAGAAGCTCTTCGCGTCCGTTCCTCATCAATTTAGAAGACTTCAAGCATTGTATACAGCGATATACTCAGCTTGGAGAGTACCTCCAGAGATTGTGTTCGCAAGAGGCGTGGTGCTCCCGTAGTTGTTGTTCGGGAATGCACCGCCAATTGCGAGATTCAGCAGAATGAAGTGAGGCGAGTGGACCGCCTGGGTCCAAACGTCTGCGGGCAAATCGGTCTCGACGACTTGCCAGAACAGGATGCCATCAACGAACCATCTTACAGCCTCAAGCTCAGCGGTGCGGTCAACTTCGAGGGTGTAGGTGTGGAAGTTGCCCTGGCAGGCACTGTTGGGGCACTCGCGGCTCCCAACGAGACCATCAGTCTCTTTGCAGGGACCTCCGGGGTTGACACCGCAGTGCATGACACCCCAAACGCGGTTGATGCCGTTGACGTTCTCCATGATATCAAATTCCCCAATGGCCGGCCAGTTCCTTACATCAATGTCAGTACATAGCTTGACACCGCGCCCTTACTTTCGTGACTCACCAATAGTTACCGCGGTATGCATTCCCAAGAGTCCAAAATGCTGGCCAATAGCCAATACCATTGCTACCAACCACGGGCAGATTAAGGCTGGCTTGGACACGCATCTTGCCACCAGCTTGAGCCATGAAGTCTCCACGCTGAGACTCGATACGAGCAGATGTCCATGAACCAGATGAAGCTTTAATGGCTGTAATCTGCAGAGCTCCATTTCCGTTGAGGCGAAGATTGTTGACGCTGCTCGTATAGGTCTGGATTTCTCCGGTACCCCAGTTGGCAGGCCCGCCAGGATAGGAAGTGCCGGTGTCGATGATCCAGTTGCCGGTATTGGGCAAACTGTTCGCAGAGCCGACAAAGTCGTCACTCCACGTGAGACTGAAGCCAGGGATTGTTGGAACTGCACCATGAACAGCGGTCAGACCAACGGCGAGAGCCGCAACGACCTTGTTGATCGCCATCGGAATGGATTCGTGATAGTGGTGTCTTAGAAAGAACCCTTAGGAGCTGTGAATCAAAAGAGAGTAACAAGGTGCAATTGGAAATCAAATGAAGCAAAGGAGGTGTAAATGAGCGATCTGGTTGTCCTCGAGAATGCACAATGCCGTTCTGATTCTCGTCTTCATTTTCCAAGAGAGTTTCTCTCGTTATATACTCTCAAGCGTATTTATCCTGCCATCCTTCTAGGTGGTCTGCAGCCACATGTCGATGTTCTGGGCTTCATTTCAGTAGATTGAAATAACTGGGTCGACAAACACCAGAACTGCCTAGCCCTACACGTTTGGTGGTCCGTTACAACACGACGCGGGGAACACTGCCGAGAACCCCACGATACATGCATGGTGTTGTCTCCTTTCTGCCCCGCAAGCATTCACATGTCACTATCGAACGATGGTCAAGTACACGGGAGGGAAACGGCCCTTTTCAACTAGTGACCCCCTCTTGAGATGTTACCGTAGAAGAAGTTGGGGAAACCCGTTGCGTGAATGGTGGGCTAGAGATGGTAGCCAATATCGATTCGTCTAGCCCCTGGGATGCCCAGACCGACAGTTCGTCTGATCGTAACTCCTGACAGGCATAGTAGCATCGGGGTTCCCCTTGACAAGATATTGAGTTGTCTCACCCATCCCTACCTTAGGGATCCGATCGAGCATCAAGGTCCAAAAGAGCACATTTACAAATGAGCTTTGATTTGGGCTACTAAGAAAGCTTGCGAGTCGCTCGCGGCCAGATCGAACGCATCTCAGTTCACCAGTCTTCAGGGAGTCGCATTCCCCCGTTGCTGACGGTCAGTTGCGTCGGGCTAGATAGATGAATCTTTTAGGCTAACGGTATACTCCGTACTTGCTGGCAAAAGGGGAGAAATACATAGAATTATCCTTCCTTGGCGGAGAAAAGATGCCCATGATCCCATGTGGTGTAAAATGCAACCTCACACGTAGGCGGAGTCGTCTTCTCTTCCCACCTGCTCGGCTCGGGGGTGTCGGCAGCGAGAGCGAGGTGGTCAGCACCTCCAGAGGTGGGCAGTAAGCTGCCTGTAAGCAGAAGTTGGGGTAAGCTGTAGGCCAAGGAGTACCATTGACGCACGCTAGCATATGTAAGTGTCAATCTGGTACACAGCACCAGGCACGCGAGACCCGAGACATTTACAGGGCTACAGGATGCCCCAAAATCACCTAATAGCAAGCGGCCGTTTAAGCTTGTTTCCCCGTACCTGTCGATCGGTCGATTGTCGGTTTCTTTCCCCTCATTTCACATGACTAGGGAGTATTCATATTTCTGAAATCCCCCCAGCTGCCCAATTCGGCTCAACAGCCGACCGTCTTCGGTGCTTTGCCGGCATCATTCAGATGTTTTCTCTGCCCATGAATGACCTCCTCGTTATTGCCCCGCTTGAAGCCTGCTCTCGAATCCCTGAGTCAAGCATCCCAAGATCACGCGGGGACGCGGAGACGTGAGCTGCTTTGGGGTTAACGAGGGTGGTGAGCAAGGACCATCCCCGGCCTGAGTTGCGGAGCACCATGCCCGCGGGACCGATTGCAGAGAATTTTGAAGTAATATGGCCGTGAAAAAGAAGGGAGAGAGATTATGAAGACTGTAGTAGGCGTAAGACTTTTCCACAACGGTCCGAATCTCGGTCTTAAAATGCCGCTGTGCCATCACGAGATCCAGGGTAGCTTCGAGTAAGAGATTTAGAGCCGAGACAACCTGCATGACGATAAAAAAATGGAGTTTAGGGAAACATGGGGTAGTATCCGTACTAGTGTTCACATTTGTCGCGCACCAACAGTGATAGACCAGTCAAGTTGAGAAGCCCAGGCTGGATTCTTTCACGTGGAATCGATGAAGATTACTGTCACTGATCAATCTTCGCTCGGTGACATGTCGGTAACAGGCAGAATATTCGAATCTAGAAGCATTCCGACGAGGCAAACATCGTCACCTGTGTCGAAAGCATTTACGCCGTCCGTCCTTCGGCTACCTTGCCACGTTTCAGCAAGCTCCAGCTGGCACTTCCAATTACCCACTCGCAACGCGATGATATTGGAAACTCTCCTCTGGTTGTTAACATAATCTTTTTCCAGGCCGTGCCGCAATGATATATGTCCATCATCTCGCGAGGCCGACCGTGTCAAAGGGCACGCGAACACAATGACGCACCTGAGAAGTTTTACAATACCGCATGCCGTCCCCGGGCCTCACTGACCCCTCACCTTGAATGAAAAATGCACGCAAATTTTCGGCATTGAACCTCGCTTCCACTCAATGAGCATTCCATTATCAGAGGATAGAGTGATAGCTTAAGAACCTACATTCAACTTGGTAAGTGGAGGCGCTTCGGTTCGTCCCGCATCTGACGTGCAGATGTGGCGTAGAGCTGGCACGACATGCTTCCCATGCTCGGTGCGATTTGGGCCGCAGAATTTGATAAACACAAGGAATGTCTTCCAGTCCATTTCAACTGGATAATTTAGGTTTGCTTAACCATAAGCCTCCAGGCCGACTTCAAAATCTGTATTTCTCGCGGAGGCCGTTTCACTGTGGATAATGTGGATTGAGAGATGAGCCTTGATCGTTCACCAACCTACGTTGACAATGGTCGAACGCATGCTATCCTGCGTCTGCACTGCAAGATGAGCGTCCAAAGTCTCTACGGCCTTCCGCTGGCGTAATGCCTCACG